GACCGCGCTCTTAGACTTCAGAGCGTATAGTGATTTCCGTTGTGTTGATTAGGAGGAAGGGAGTAGCGATCAAGCTCTCTCTTTGTTCTTTGCTAAATGCGACTTCATAGAGGGTATCCGATCCTACTCTTCTATTCCTAATTGTCGCGTACCCCTGTCCACTCCGCAAATGTATGTCTATCTCCGGTCTATTCCCACATGCTCATACCATGGCAACTTATGTTCTCTCATTTCAATCGACAGTCTACGGGCGTATTTCTTACGCGTGTAAACGCGCAATTCAGCTTTCTTACTTTAAATCTGAATGCACATGCAGCCTTAGGACACCCCAAAACTCATTCGAAAAAATAGGCTCTATTAAGACGGCCCAAGGCGCAATAGTGAGATATTGCTCAAGACACTTTATATCATTTTTCGAAATGATCGAATAGAGAAGGTCAAAAGTTACCCTCTTATAAAGAATTAAACCATCTCTATCAACCATTGTCATGGGGATTGCGCAAGGGCGTTCAAGCCCTTGTCTTGCGTACTCAGCGTTTATGTCTCTAATAAAATACTTATAAGGTAATTTGGTTTCCGGGTGAAGATGCGAAGTCATGATTGTAGACAGGTGTTTAGTTGAAGAACAAGAAAAGGGATGAATAAGGGCTACAACAAGCGTAGGCTCGTAGTCGGTACTGTCAGATATTAAGGTGAATCGTGTATATTTCTTGATTCTGTCGCAATCGAAGGACTATTGCAGTGATGTTATTGGATTGGATTGGAGCTGGATCTGAGCCTCGATCCAATCCAGTCCAGACTTGGGGACAGGCAGCCTCCAGTATATCCAGAACGGATCCAGTTCAGATTGTTACCCTTTTGGGACAATAAATGAGCCGCTGAATAAGCAGATTTAGGGTAGAACTGGAATTGTGCCCTTGTGTGTGGCTATGGCAGTACTTAAATAAGTGCTCATTATATTCTCCAGCAACTTGCTTCTCCAATGTGCACAATTCCCTCGGCGCTGTTGCAGTTGGCACAGATAGCAGTACGAGAACCACTTAGGCGTGTCCTGCTTTGAATTGTATGTCCACCATACCCTATTACCGGACAGAGTAGCGAACATATTGCTTTCCATTCCGCTCGAATTCGTCGGGTTCGATCAGGATTCCGTCGTGGTCGTTGGGGCGAGGGTTAAGGTACGTTGGATCAAGAATAACTCTTTCAGGATCAGGACGGCGACAGCTGCCAGGGCCGAAATAGCTGGAGATAGTAGCCATGGTGTAGCTGGTGAGTGGGCTGTTCAGATACGTCTGCCAGAGCAGAAGGACTGCTGAAGTTACGAGCGACGCGATTGCTTCCATGGTTTTGCTAACGGACATGTGCGAGTTGGATGTTAACGATGGGCGTAGTTGTGTTGGTGTCTGCGACGGGAGCCCTGCCACGACCACCAAATTAGGGTTAGCTCTTGCCTTATCAGGTTAGACCACTGGAGCTCCAGGAGCTGGTTGCCAATCAATCCAATCCAGTCCAAATCTTCGAGAAACCCTCACTACAAGTCAGCAACGACCCAGCCCCGCTAGGTCGTAGAAAACACCATATAAATGAAAACCGCGCTATTGAAGGTCGGGGGGCTACTCAAGTATTCACGACAGGAACGGGGCCCGTTCCGGGTTTTAGACCAATCACACAGGCTAGAATTGACAGGGATAACTCTATCTCAGAACGGGGCCCGTTCCTGTTTTTGACTCTTAACAGCAAACGCGAAACGGGGCCCGTTCTCGCGTCGCGTTGGACCGTGCCACCCTTTATGGCAGGCTATAGAGGTGACTGTTGCAAAACCCCCCAAAATCACCGCTAATGTGCTAAATTGGGTTAGCGGTATAGTCACTTGGCCCCGCAGTACATTGCACTCTGTACCTCAGCTTAAATTTCTTAAATTCTGGGCGCCGCATGGAAGATGCTGTCATAGCAGCGAGTTCGCACCGAACCAACAGAGTGCGCTTCAGTTCCACCAAAGCAAGATGCGGTCTCATGGTACTGCACATGTGGTACCGCATGCATGCATGGACAGCCAAGAGTAAATGACCGCTTGATTTTCTAATGTAAAGGAGCGATGAGAGATGACCTTTCATACCCATGCTTAGTCTGCTAATCGTCTAAACAGTAATTTGCTCGTGGTTTAGAGTTCATTCCAACCGTGAAGCCATTCACGGTGGTCGTGATCCTTGTCCTTGAGATGCGGTAGTCGGATTCGAAACCGACACCGCTGAGTTTCCTTTATCTTTCTAGTCATCCTCTTCCCCCTCATCATCCCCCTCCTCGTCTGGTTGATTGAGCCGCTGGATAGGAAGTCAGTACTCAAAGTTGTATCTAATGACTTGGCTATACTTACAATCCAGAGCTGAGCAGCCCCGGCGATGGTCTCTAGCGCTATAAGCTTTCTCTCCTCAAAGCTCCTCTCAGCTACTTCGCCAAATGAAGCCAAGGCAGGAGCTGGTCGTGTGGTAGGAGGAGGGGCCGCACCACTGCCGCAAGCTCGCAATTGTTGAGCTGCCCGTTGTGCGGCACCACGCCAGACCTCGTCCGGTTCTTCATCGGTGCCGCTGAGCTGCCGGTTCAGGTCCCAAAAGGCACGTACAGCAGCTTGGGCTTCAGTGGGAACCTAGAGATGCAGCGGGGTAAGTGGCCAGTTAGCTGACAGAGAGTAGATATGTCTCACCGGTCGACACGTGTGGCCGTTCTTGGCGCAATCCCAGCACGCAGCACCAGTATCTAATCAATGTATGTTAGCGCACTCAGCAGATGACCAGGGACAATCAAACCTACTGTCTTGAGAGGCGCATTCATGGCCGGGAGACTTGCTGGCTCGGGCGACGCATTGCCGGCATGGGAAATGACGGACTGAGCCGCGGGGAGGGATCTTCTTCGACTGCTTCTTCTTCTGCTCGGATGGGTAAGTTAGCATCCGTAGCTCCATATGAATGAGGTCTTGCAGATCGTACGTTAATTTTGGCCGCGGGTTTGCGGACGCTCTGTTGGATTAATCTTCTCCTCTTCACCTCAGCGTTCTGGCTGAGAGAGTCCCCATTCGCACCTGGAGTCTCGCTATCGATGTCGGGATTGACCGTGGGCATGACGCTGTTGCTGACCATGAGCTTTTCCACGGACAAAATGGTTTAAATGGGAAGGTGGAAAGGATCTAGGGTTCTGTAAATATTGGTCCTGCCCCTGGCTTGGTCGGGTTCTACCAATGAGTAAGGTGAGGCTAAGCCACTCGGGGCAAGTCACCGCTGCGGGCCAGTTGCCATGCCGCTGCGGACTAGTGCGTTTGACCACCCTGCACGCCCCCCTTTTCCAGTTTTCAGAACCCAGAATGTCGCCCACCTCCTTTTGCTTTTGCGGCTTCCCCAGTTCCGAAATGGCACGTCCTCGCAACTCAATTGATCAATACCGCGACTATGTCACCCATCTCTACCTCAACGGCGTTTCACGATGCAGGATTCAGTACAAACTTCGGAAGCATCATCATGTCATCGTCAATCTCAGCACAATCTCTCACCGAATAGCGAGTTGGGACCTCCCACGCCAGCAAACCCGAACCCAAGAAAGTCCCGAGCTAATAGAGGCCATCCGCGACCTGATATTTCGTGTTGGGCTCAGTGAAAAGCAGACACTGAGCGTCCTACAGAGACGGGGCTGGCCGATCACCAAAGAAGGTTTGAAGCGAATCAGGCTTCACCCAGACCGCCGCTGGATGCGCAGAATCAACAGTGACGAAGAACGTCTTGCGTTGCTGGAGAAGACAGAGCAAGTCATCCTCGAGATGACACAACGATCCAACGCCATTTCCGGATATGGCAAGAGCCTTCTTCAGCCTTACCTTCGTCAGCAAAAGCAGCTCTGGGTACCAAGAGATCCTCTCTTTGCGATGTACAAAATCATGTTCCCGAATGAGGTCGAGATCCGGAAAAGGATGTTTCGGCGGAAAAAGGGGCAATTCCTTGTGCCGGGACCAAACTATCAGTGGTGCATTGACGGTCACGACAAGCTGAAGGCATACGGATTCGAGATATACGCCGCAATCGACGCCTACTCACGCAATATCATCTGGTTCTATGTTGGCCACTCCGCTACAACGGCTTTGAGTGTCCTGAAACAGTACTTAACCGCGTGTGACGCCTATGGCTTCCGGCCATGGTATCTGCAGGCAGACAAAGGCAGCGAAACCCCGCTTATCGCAGCAGCCCATTGGAACTTTGCTTTGGCCGCAGATGGGCGGGTAGAGTGGAATGGGCAAGTCTTCCAGCAAGGGAAGCGCCTGAAGGATTCCTACAAGGCGGCGTCGAGCACGAAGAATGTCAAGATTGAAAAGTGGTGGGAGAGCATGCTTCATGTCTCCTCCCGGCAGTGGGTAGACTACTTCGGTGAACTCGCCCGGGACGGGGACTTTAACGGTGATATGTTGGAGGATCAGATTGCCATGTACGCCGTCTTTGAAGGTATATTACGCCAAGAGCTCTTCGACTTTGTGGAGACGTGGAACCTCCATCGGATTCGCCTTCAGAAGAACCGCCCGCACGTGGTTCACGGCCAGCCCTGGATGAACTACCACTATCCCGATCCAGGTAAGGCATGCAACTGGGGCATCCCCATTGATCGCTGCGTTCTCGACGAAATGCAGCGACCATTGGCTGATATCGACATCAGCACATGTTTAGAACCAGAGACGAAGGATTGGTGCCGCCAAGTTCTCGTCGAAATGGGTTACGACAATGCAATCCTTGGGGCTCGCCAGGAATCGGACAAGTTGCGGCCCTTCAAACGTTTCTACATTGGCCTCCGAGATAGAATCATTCAACACATCGAAAGTGGCCGGCAGCCTGTACTTGTGTATCGTAAAGCGCCAACCGGGGGCGTCGCGGAATATGTAAGCCATGACGTCTCTTTGCGATTCGACCAATCTGACCGAATCTAGCAGGCATTATGTGAGCGAGCAAATCAAGCCCGCCAAGATGAGCTTGGGGATGGGGAACCGGCAGAGCAACCACTTATTGAATTAGGATATGACGACGAAGAAGGAAACGACATAGAGGGAATAAGTGATGATGGGGGAGATAGCGACGGCATAAATGGGGAACCCGAGTAGTCAATTCGCATTTTTCTTATGACGGACGACAAATGTTGCAGGAACCTTCGTTCCTTTGAAGCGTGTGGAGTGTGCTGGCGGAAGCGCCTCGGCAATATCAATGTCGGACAGTTGAGTTTGATCACTCCCAATGCTTTGAGGAAGGCACTCCAGAGTTACCTGTGAGTGTCAGTACTTGACTCGTAAAGGAGATCGTTTGGTCTCTTACGAACTCCGGGACCACAGCTTGCTCACCATCTTTCCCGTCTGCCTCGTCTCCGTCATCTATCATATATTCACCCCCCTTGTGGCCAGGAATGCTGTCAAACGTTTGATCATGAAACGGATCTTCCACTTCAACAAGATCTACCACATCTTCATGTACAACTATCTCGTCAGCAATGCTTTCAAGCTCGTCGTCTGTCAGGCTCTCGCAGAAGGCAGCCGGGACGCGCCCTTCCGGCTTCATCTTGATGTGTACCTCCTGCTTAACCTGATCTGTGTTCCCAGCGCTACCCTCTTTCTTGACATGCACTTCCTGCTTGATGCGCTTCTCGCGATTTAAGGCAGGGCTTGTGTCTTCTTGCTTGACCTTCCGTTTCTTTTCTTCCTTGACTGGCGTGGAGTATCCATCCGATCCCAACGGTGTAACTGGTTCCTGTTTGTCGACTACATCTGGGGATGTAAGGACGACTAGCACTTTCAATTGTCCTGCCTGATTGTTGTCGAAGTGTCCCGAGGCGAGCATACTGGACGGAGTCGTGTACTTGTCGGTGTTGGGAACTGTGACGATCTTTTTGCCAGAGAAGCTCGAGGCGTAAGAAAGGCTCCAGAGGTCTCTGTTCGTAAGATCGATTGTAGGTGGGAGCGGACGGAGATGGTCGAACAAGATCGCGGTAAATGAGGGCCAAGTCAGTAAATCCACCGAGGAAAACTTGATCACTGTATCTTTCAGAGGCAGCACCGTCTCCGGAACCTCAACTGCAAGCCCGTTGAAGTACTTGGTCTCCAGGCTCACAAGCAGGAGACTTATATGTACCCACTGGTATCCCGTCCGGTGCCTCGTAGGCTTTCTGGTATTCGTCTTTGAATTCTGAATGGCCCGGCTGGCCGCGGATGCCACAGTCATAAACTGGGGACTGCTTGGCAACTCAGGAGGAGGAATGCGTGCCCGTGTATTCATCGCACCGGTAGCAAACGCCTCGACAGGGAGCTGTTGAGCTGTGCGCCCAACACCGATAGATGAGACAGGTTTCGGTCTGTCACGTAGCAACTGGCTTGCTGGACTGACTGGTCGTGGTGGCGGAGAGTCTTCAACCTCTATCACCTCATCGTACGGACCCGGGATCGCCGGAGTTTTGGACCTGGCACGATGCTGGGGCCGAAAGGGGTTGGCCAAGCCGCAATGGCCGCAATAGTTCGCGCCAACATATGTGGTGGTGAAGAGTTCATAGTGCTTCTTTCCGGCTTGGACGCAGTAGACATGCTCCGGGGGGATCTTGAGAGGGCCCATTTTGGTAGAAGAGAGGAGGTGAAAGTCGGAAAATGGGAAAAGGGGGAATACCAGTTTCCACTGAGGTTTTAATTTAATAAGAACAACAACATGGCCCTTCTCTATGGTGAATGAAGTCGCTAAGCTCGTTTGAGCAGGAGGTTACTGCGCTAGTCCGCTGCTGACCAGTAGCGGGATTACAGCGTTAACCACCACGGGCTCACCAAGCTGCTTTTCGTTGCGAATGGAAGAGGAATGGGCAGTCAGACCTTCGCGATGACTGAAGCAAGTGAGTTGTAATCGCGAAATGCAAATCAAAGCTCAGATTGTGAGTTTATTTAGGAAAACCGACTCAGATTGTGTCCTGGATAACGTGTTGTAAGCATCTGTGTCGTGGCGACTGTCCACCATTCACCTGATGTGGTAGTGACAGGCAAGTTCGACTGGCTGGAGGTTACCGCGCGAGCCCGCAGCTGGTCCGCAGTACATTTTCCTGACGAACCCAAAGTACTCCGATGACTAAGAAGCAGAGCCCCTAAACCCAAATGGAAACGACCGGAGGTTTTGCAACAGTCCTCCCTATCGCCCACCGTAGGCGTCTCCGGGTAATGTTTGGCTATTTGTTTAAGATGGTTAGGGTTAAGTTTGCAGGTAAGCTGTCCCCTCCCTGATTGAGCTGCCTGCTGTAGTTAGCTGCCTCGTGTATTAAAATCTGATTGGACCAAATCTTCCAGACCCACAAATACTTCCCTAAGAAGGCGGTGAAGCCAGCGCTCTTAACAAGCCTAGTTCTTCCCAACCCAGAAGCAACTACGTCGGGCCAATCCTCTCTTAAAACAGGTTGCATAAAGGTATCAACACGGTATTATTTACTATATAGATTCAGAACAATTCAGTTTAGGGCAGTTATCTACCTTTTCTCTTACCGTGATTAAAGGAAGAATCTCCTTATTGCTATTCCGTAGCTCTATTGACTTCTTTGTCTCTGAATACTCGGTTACATCTTCCGTCCACTAGCACATACTCCTATCGTTCTCCCCTCTTTAAGAACAGCCGACCAGCTGCGTGTCTGATGCCGATTTGGGGAACTGGCTTGTCGGCTGTGCTGCTATCGTTTTTAGGAACGCGATTTGTAGCTAGGACTGGGGCTTCAAGCGCAGTATCTTGAATTGCTCTCGGAGCTAGTGTCACAGCGCAAGACCAGGTTACCCTAGACCCGCATGTCAGGACAGCTATTCGGCGGTGAGCAACTCTCCTGTAAAAAAACTTCCTTGGCACCCGCTGTTAGCGCTCTGCTAGGATAGAGAATTTTTGCAGGCTAAAATGGCAACAAAAGCACCTGTGGGGCTAACGGGACCCTAACAGCTGCCTGAAGAAAGGGATTCAGAGAGTTGACCTTTCTTCGCGACCAGTGTCTGCAACGACATTGAGCTTCGCGGGCTCTTGACATCGCCTTCGGGCGCTACTTCTCACGTGTTATTTGCTGCTAACATCATATACTAACCGACTCAAACTAGATACTGAATATAACGTAAAACTTATTAGCATAGTAAAAAACCATACATTAGGAGCTTAAGACTTGCCTTACTTATATTTCCATAAGTTCTTCTAGCTGGTTGTTGGTATATTCGTCTTGGAAGTTGCTGACCTCGTCGTCGGTCTCAGGCATTGCAGCCAATCAGATTTTAGCGGTCAAGATGTGGCCGGTTTTGGATATGTGGGGTTCTCTTTCAGCCAATCGTGAATTTCGTGGTCAAGATCCATCCATTTTCAGAAGCGAGTCGTGCTATTTCATATAGAGCCTAGCGCATCATTCCAAAAAACTAAGCCGAAAGGGAGGGAGACCTGTTAATTATCCTTCAATATCTGTGCGAATTTTCTTGTCGGCCGTGCTATTGCATGAGTTAGAACATCGGAATACCGATCCGCCCATGTTAATACTCTACTCCCTCCATTATAAGAGAGTAGATATACTGACTGTAGCTAATCTGGCCGCCATATAAGAGGTATTCTCGTGGGCTGGGGTGCCGATTAGCACATGCTGCTGTAGCAACCGCAAAAGCAACAAAATAGTCATTGGGGTATCAAGAAATAATCTCCGGCATCAACACGAAGTAACCCTTACCACCTCATACAATAACATACTGAAATTAATATGGAGAGACCACCAAGACGTGGACGACCACGCAAATATGCAACAGCTGAGGACAAAGCGACGGCAGACGCTCAACGAAGGCGGAACAAACGGCAGAAAGTTGCAGCTAGAAATAGAGGATTGCCCTATAGCAATTTTCATAGCTTGCACTATCCTATCCAGCAGTCAAATAACTCACAGAGCAGTGCATTCACACAGCTACAAGAACAAGACATAAGCAACTTTCTACCTCCACCTAGTCCTCCACTCCAACCCACCACCGAGGGGGTATTCCCTGACCATGATGAGCCTCCCAGATCAGCATCGATTACATCCCCAAATAGTGCGCTTGAAGCAGACAGCGTGGACAGGCCATTGTCCCTACCCGCAGCAGATCCTCAGCTACCCGGAGATATCGATGAACAGAGTATACCTCATACCACAACTTCCGCCTTTGCGGAAGATCCGGTAGCTGTTTCAATTCCTGACCTGGTTCAGGATATTGTCTCTGATACAACCCTAGAGACCTCTCCACAAGCGGGGGACGGCGAGCCAGAACCAATTGAGCATCTCGCACAAGAGCTGGCAGAACAACTTATCAAATTTCAAGGATGCTGCAACGAGTGCCACCAGGCAGCAAAACGTAATCATATGGAAGATACAAATGAACATATCAGCCTTGCTATGTACCTGGACTTCACGCCTGAATTAGGTCCCGACATCCTCAGTCATGAGACTATCGCGCACCAGAAAGATGATCTAGCTGGAAAACTAAGCTCTGAATCCAGGAGACAGCTCTTTTGTGGTGTTGGCTCCAGAGAGGAGGTACCATATATCTGCTTAGATGAAGATGAGCGGGTTTCAGACGGTGCTGGGGTTACCTTCGATATAGACAGCGTCGTGGCCTTCCCGAGTAACCTTGCTGTGGCTAAGAAGGGAATTCACTGGTCTCCTACCCGAATGACCGTATCTGATCTTTAGTCTAATCTCCACCTTCGATCAATACCTGTCACATTCCTCGATACAACTGGAAAACAACATCAAGTCCACCAGCCCGTACACCAAATTCCTCACTATACATTCGGTCGTGTTATTGGGTTTGAGGATATATCTTTATATCTTCTATTCCCTAACCTATATCGAGAAGAACAGAAGTGTAGTAAACTTAGGGATGAAGACTTTCGACTATGGATGGATGGTATTCTGCTTCCTGCAATATACCTACTGTACCAATTACCACTGGTATTGACATCCAATACCAGTTTTTGCGGCCCGTGCACCTCTCTTTTTCAATCCCCTGCTCGTGGGTTGCAATACAAGAATACTTGGCCCGTGCACCCTGTTGACTTTACAAAATTACTAGGATGTAGATGCTGGTTCCCCATTGACGCGAATAGGAAACATCTTTAAGGTCGTAAAGGCTGCGGCTGAAAACTTTATTGTAATGAGTCTCATTTGGAAAACCAGTCCTCTTAACCCCTTTTCTGACTGTTCCATCGGGTTTAAAGACCCCACCCTGGTATCTATCCGTGCAATCAGTGAGTGTGACAATCTCTTGGCTATTTTGTTATGTGAATAGCGGTGCTAGTGGAACACCAGATCCAGAGAACATAATGACTGATAATGCAGTGCTCTCACGGCTGAGGCTATTTGTCGACCTTCAAGTTCAGGTCCTTATTTGCTGTCATGACACATGCCGCTTTGCCCTCGCGCCTAGTCCGACTTAAGTCAGCGAGCATCTCCGAAGGAAGCACAGTGACTGCTACCGAGCGCCGCCAGGTCATCAATATTTTGGAAGCTCGCATTCGAAAACTGAGAGATCCATCTGACGCCCCTACCAGAGAGGACGGTTCATCCTGCGACCCGAACTTGATACTGGTTCATGGATTTACCTGCAAGTTCTGTATGGAACGTACGAGCAGCTCTCAAACAATCTCTCGACACATAGCCTCGAAGCATGAGGGGGAAAGGCTTCGGTTAGGAGTCCGGAGAAAAGCCATGTATGAACCTGCGTTCCTGCAAGCGTGGGTCAAAAGTCCCTCAGGGGGACGTTACTGGATTGTCGAGCATGCTGGTTCCACAGTTAGACCAGTCGGTGGCAAGGAAGCTCACGATCATCTCAAGGACATCTTAGAGCGAGAGCGTGGTAGGCAAAGACTGTTAAAAGAAATCAACATGGCAGATGGAACTGGCATGGGTAGGAACACGCAGAGCACAAGATTCACAGATCTCAAGCCCTGGCTAGAGCGGACCGGCTGGGAGCAAACCTTTCAGGGAGTTGATCGGGAACTGCTTAGAAACTTGACAACTGTGCCCTCTCTTGCGACTTCACGTCAATGTCTAGTATTGAAATCGAACAGGAACCTGCCTGCCTATCCCCATTCCGAAGAACAAATGACAAGTTCTGCAGACAATGAAAGCAGAATAGCCGCTCTAATGTTTGCCGTGGACGCCGTGATGGATCGCTGCGAGCAGACTGCACGGACGACAAGCAGGAGCCTATTATGCTGGCTACGTAGTGTACGACCTCATGTCTGCTACGTCAAGCCTTTCACCTTCGTAGGGAAGGCTGCGAGTAGGAAGAAGTACATTCGTCTCCTCAAAAGGTTTATCGCCATGGTCTTTCGCACCTATACCCTACCAGCCGACGTTCTACGGCGCCGAGCAGGCATACGATTGAAAAAGGCCCAAATTCGTCAAATTGCGGCACTTTGGAACCATGAGATCTGGAAGCGGCCTGATGCTTTGACTGAGGCACTTTGGCAATCGACCCAGTCCCCTGCTGCGGCGGACGTTAAACATAGCCTAGATGAAGAGAACACCAATGACGGGGACCATTGTGAAGATGACGCCTCAAGCGGGTATGAGAGTAGTGTTCCGACAGAGTCTGAGGACTCTGAAGACGATTTTATGGTTGATGGAGAAAGAGATTATCAAGACGGCGGAGCACTGGAGCGAGACGAGATTGAGAATCACAATCAAGAGAGTTCCGCGATGGGAGAAGCCGGCGGGAAAACACTACCATTGGTCCGAGAAGCATTGGAACTACTATTCGGACTGATCATGGAGTTCAGTACTGAAGAAGTCGTAGACGGTCGTCCTGCTTCCACGCTGTTGGTGTATTTCAGTGGGATCCTTGGATTCTCAGCCGATCTCAACGGATTCCTCCCGGCCAGGTCGTACACGTCCAACCTTGCGGCACTGATATATGTCCAGCGCCTTCTATTCTTGGAGTATGCCCTACCTGCACGAGGATATCCTTTGCTTGGGATCTCAACACGCCCTCGGACAGGTCAGGTTTCACGGCTTCAGAAAATAAGACAGGAATACCTCGTCCTCGGATCACAGTCACCATTCGAAGAACTTTTCTCACTCCTCGCATATAGAAGGGCAATAGCTAGCTCAGAAACACCCGCATTCCTTCTCACGTGGAGTGATGATGGCCAGACGGTATCATACAAAGACGAAATCTCGGTCCACATGGAAAAGTTCCGGCGTCTTCCAATGACGCTTCTAGAACGTGCCGAAGCTCTTTTTTCGGAGCTGATGTACGGATGGAGACCTCCATGTGATCTTTCTTCTGTGAAAGACGACATGTCAAATACGACACACGGCTTTTCATTCGTTAGTCATCCGAAGAATGGCTTGACAGACGCGTATCTGGAACTCTCGTTAAAAGCTTGCACTAATCAAGCAAGTCCACTTTCACGCAAAGGCAAATGGCACCGCAAGGCTGTTCTTGCGTTTTTCAAGAAGGAAGAAGCAATGCGCGAGGTCTTAGCGGATCTTATGCTCATAACATGTGGTGGTCAGCCTCGCTCACCAGACCTACTCGAAGTCCGCGTTCGCAATCATAGGACTGCTGAGCGTAATTTCTACATTTATAACGGCTTCGTGATATATGTCACTCGCAGTCACAAGGCAAAGCGTTCGACAAACAGAGAGTTCATTGTTGCTCGGCTCCTGCCTTTTCGGGCCGGGCACCTGCTCTATATGTATCTTGTGTATATCCGCCCTTTTGTGGACATGCTTACTCGAGAGCACCAGCCACATATAAATGAATGCTCCCCATATTTATTCAGAAGCAGACGGGATCTTGACAGCTCATGTTGGTCCACCGAACGTCTCACCAGTGTAGTCAGACGATTTACGCGGGAAGTCTGGGGCCAAGGCGTCACGTTGAGACTCCTACGACAACTCTGTATCGGCATAACTGACAAGCATGTTCGAGAGGTGAGCCAGCCTTTCAATCAATTCGACGACCGGACAGATAAGGCCAATCTTGGAGTCGCTTTTGCTTGGTCAAGTGGTCACCGCCCCCTACTCTTCTATTCTTAATTGTCGTGTACCCCAAATTGTCGCCTACCCCTTGTTCATTCTCATGTGTGGTTACTGACGCCCCTGAACACGTGCCACATAAAGGCTCTCACGCTGCTACATCCTTATTCTACACCCCGTGATGTCAACAACAACGAAACAGACTTGCGTATTGTGATATTCTAAAGTGATATCACACGGTGCTAAAGTGCTAAAGTGATATATATCACCGTGAATATATATCACACTTTTTTCCAGCTAAATGTGATATCACGATAGCTAAAATGCTATCGCCTGTGAATACCACTGCAGCACCCTTATCTGATAAGGCCATCTAATCTTACCTACTTTTGTTGGATCTACTGTAATTAGATTTTGCAACACCCCTATTGGCCTGTGTCATCGTGCACAGACCATCGAGACGCACAACGGGACATCTGCTGATCCCAGAATCTGCATTCTCTGGTGGTCGACGTACTCTCTCCTGGGATAGAGAACGAATGACTCGCGAGAATCTTGAGAAGGTTGAATGTATAGGTAACTGGCTGCGTGAAGGGCATATCCAGAAGGCTGTTCATGGTGGTATGGGCGTAATTACTGATACGGGTTTTGATAGTGGTGGCGATGAAGACTCTGATGTTAATTTTGATTGATTTGCGGATGTCTGACAGTATAGGTGCTAAAGTGCTATAGTGATATCAATTGTTCTAAAGTGCTATAGTAATATCAATCGTGCTAAAGTGCTAGGGTGATATTCTAGCACACTTTTTGCGAATATGTGAATATGAATATGAATATCACTTTAGCGCGTGATATCACAATACGCAAGTCTGTCAACGCGGAAGGTCGAGCGATCGCGCCGTTCATCGTAGGTGCGGGCCAGTATCATCTCGCTAACTGGTATCGAGAAAGTAACCTGCCGGGCGACTGGGCTATCACCACGACCCAAAATGGCTGGACGGATAATGAGACGGGTCTTGAATGGCTAAAACACTTTGATCGGTGTACAGCCAAGCCGCCCAAGCGATCGAACAGTCGCTATCGTCTTCTAATCCTTGATGGCCACGAAAGTCACCACTCCGTCGACTTTGAGAGATATTGTAAGGGGAACAAGATCATCACGCTCTGTATGCCACCTCATTCATCTCATCTACTACAGCCCCTTGACGTCGGGTGCTTTAGCCTACTGAAGAAGGCTTATGGTCGAGAAATCGAGCATCTGATCCAATGCTCCATAACCCACGTTTCCAAGATCGAGTTTTTCCCAGCCTTTTACGCGGCATTTCAAGCCACCATGACGAAAAGAAACATCAAGGCAGCTTTTAGGGGAGCTGGGTTGGTTCCTCTCGACCCGGAAAGTGTGGTCTCGAAGCTTGATGTGCAGCTACGGACTCCAACGCCGGTTGGAGAGGAGGCCAGGCCCTCGACCCCTTGGGTTTCAAAGGCACCTAAGACGGTGCTTGAGGCTCAGTCTCAGTCTGAGTATCTTGAGAGACGAATCAGACGGCATCATAGCAGCTCTCCAGAGTCAATTATAGAAGCTATGAGGTCTCTTACTAAGGCAGTGAAGGGAAATATGCATGAGATGGCATTAATGAGGGCTGAGCTCCAAGACCTTCGACAAGCAAATGAGATACTAAGCCGCCGGCGGAGGACAAAAAATACCAGACTACAGAAAAGAGGGGTAATGACAGTAGAGGAAGGCAGGCAAGCAATTGATCAGGTGAGTGGGGATGGGCAAGCAGAGGGCGAACCGTCGGAAAGTGGCGGTCAAGGAAGGTCGGCGCGACCGGATGTTCGGCGCTGTGGAGTATGTGGCAAGACCGGGCATAATGCAAGAAGATGTCAGATTATTGTTTCAGTGTCTGAGAAGGAGTATAGCAATTAGTGTCAACTGATTAGGAATTTTGTTGTGTTTTGTGGTGATTTCCATCTTGAACGCTGATGTTTTTTGACACTCACTTGTCTGAGACACTCGCTTATCATGTACGTTAAGCGAAGGTTATAAAACTTCATCTGAGAACGGATCTACCACTATAGTAGCACCAAGGATAACGCAACCATCATAATTGGCAAAACATGTCCGAGTATTTTAGAGGCTCCACCAGTGACTGGAGGTGCGATGATTGAGGTCGGGGTTGGGGTCGGGGTCGGGATGCTCTCGTTCTTGCCTGGCTTTCCATTGCCGAGGTTGCAAGCGGAGATGCCCAAAGAGGAGTTGACCGATATCTGGAAGATACCTTCCTTGGACGTAGCAGATGAGACGACGACCTTGAGCGTCTCGGCCTTCGTAGTCTTGACCGACAGCTCAGCTGGCTGGTTCCCACTAGTCGTGGAGTTTTTCCCGACCAAATTTCCGTTTTCATGACTCAATTTCACGTCAAGGTCCTGTGCGGAGATCGAAGCCACCGTGAAGACAAGTTTCTCCCCATCGCTCGCGAGGTACGAGAAGGCAACGTCCCTGGACCCGGACAGTTTGGCAGTCGTGATGCCGCTCAGAAGCGGCTGCGCTGTGCTGGAGGACTTCTTGTCCAGGGCGGTAATACCATTGCCTAAGAGCAGGTAGAGCCAGGGTTGAATATTCTCAGGTTGGTTGAAGGAGTTGTACGCGCCGCCTGTCTGGAGAATGGCCTGCAGCAGGTCTGGCTTGGGCGGGGTTTCCGGCGGAGCAAGGAAGCCGAAGCTTACGCGGATGCCGAGGGAATCTGCCTTTTTAATTTGGTTGATGAGCGCGGCGACATTGGTGTCTTCGCCGTCAGTTAGGATGATGATACCGGACCGATCTTTTGTCGTACCATGCCCAGACTTGGTGAGCTCTTCAATGCCCTTCGCAACGCCGCTGAAACCCAATTAGCTAATAAAGTCACATTCTTGTTCTAGGTGGGAAGTGCAACACTTACCTGGCGATCGAGGTTCCTCCTTCATTACCGATCTTACCGAAAGAGCTATCGGCTTTACTAGGGTCGCCGAGCGGATAGAGCAGGGTCGCCTGGGTGTTAAACCTGGACTAAATCAGTGAACACATCCCATATGTATGCAACAGCGTGGTGGCCTTACTCCACGACCGCGACTTGGTCGGCACTTTTGCCACCAGAAGCTTCCGCAGAGGATACTAGCTGCCTGTTGAGAGCCCTTCCAGCCGTGATTCTGAGATCTTGCGGATCGTTTGTCATCATGGAGCCGGACGCGTCAATGACAAGGGCAACCTTGCGGCCACCAGAGCTGCGTGCCAGCGATAGTTTGCAAGTGTCTGCATCACGTTTGAAGGCGGGAGAGGGGAAAAAGGCTGCGGAAAGTCTAGCCGCTGTGAGAGAAAGGACGAGTGTTTGCAGCTTCATCTTCTCGAACCAATATGTCGAATCCAAATCGAGTTGATGCACAAAGAACAGAGCAGACGGAACTGGGGTATACTTATCCCTGTTGTTCAGCAGTACATAAGCGCGGTCTTTTGAGTTTATATCTTGGGTACTTGGTAATCCAATGAGATATTCAAGATGCCAGATGACATTCTGAAATACTAGAGTGACGTCAGACGATTGTCACAGGCAAATATAATTCAAGTGCTATACGAAAGGTCACATCCACCATAACCAAGGAGCGCCTAGCCCTAGTTGAGCTGAAACACAAGCGCTGCTAGTAGCAAGGGCTGTAATAGCGATTGGTTTTGGGTTGTGTTAATAGAAATATTTATACTTCATTCTGGCTTAAGCCTGACGCCTTGGGGGACTGATGGATCAGTCACAGCGAATAATGATTGGACGACCTGAGTAAAGTCTAAGTGCCATTGGGGTGGCTGTGCAATGAAACCGCTTAGGTTTCCATAATTAGCAAATCATCCGAAAATAACTAAAAGGTTTTGGCATGTTTGGCTTCCTGCATGCATGACAGGACTCTTCGCTTAAATAAGACGCTATTGGTAGTGCTACTAGGACGGCTGGGACATTTAGCGGAGCTGCCCTTAAAATATTGCCGGAGAGGCAGCTGTATACGAATATCGGGCTGATCTAGATCGCCACGACGCTTCTGCCGCCCCTGATACTACTCCTCATGGGGCAATTGAGAGCGCTTTCCCTTCATAACAATTATTAAGAACCTTCAATAACTCGCTACGGGAAGTACTTACAATCTTCACATGTATAATCGCGTCCTCAGTGACGAGTTGTTCTTAATTCCGGAGATTGTTTAACAAGCCATTATATCTATCCGTCGACAGTCGCAGTTCTTGCAGCGTGAATGGATCAGGTGCTACAGCAACAGCTAACCATAAACCGATGCCTCTCTCGCATTATCGTACCCCTTTCGATATGCCCTCATGCACAATGATTACGAAATTGACAGCGAGAAACGCTCTTAGAAGCAGAAGATGATTTGATGGCGCCTATTATACGAACCATACGACTGCCAGCTGAGAAGTGCGTCCATCTCATCATATGGTGTATTAGCAAAGAAGCTCTCTGAAGGCTGAAGAAGTAGCTGTCTTTGCGGCTACCGGATTGGATACCGATTCGCCGCATGGTGTAACTCTTGTAGTCCTGCTTATCCTCCTCGAACCCAGCGGTGTTTTTTAGAGTAAGCCAGTGACGCCAGTCTGACGAGACAACCGCGGACGTGGTAAACCATCAGTCTAACTCCTAGTGGACATAGCGCGGTGCTCCGCACTTGCTTAGGAAACTCGACGACGGCCTAATCTATGTTTAGAGGCTCAGGATATTAAATCGTTGTCTGTTATGCGCAATTGTTTAATTATAAACTGTTGAACGGATCGCGTGCGCCTTGATGTCCTTTATTGTATGTGTATTGTGGAACTGTGTCCCCTCCCTTCCTCAGAGAGGGGTCTGCTTATAATGCTTTCCCAGCGAGGCCTAGCCTCGCTGACCGATGGCCGATAGGTCACAGGATGCCCCTTGCGGCCACCTTGTTGTCTGTTGTTCAACAGTAACAAACAAGCGAGTGTAACAAAAATCCACTCAGTATTTACAGCTTAAAATCTAGTCTTTTCAACAAGCTCTGAAAAATCCAAATTAAGCTTTAAATAACTAAAGATTATACATAATACTAGTCTGGCTATATATTTTATTTAAATAGGCTTTATAAAGTGTTTAAAAAATCACTTATATAGTTCACTACGACCTGCTTGTACTCTTGGCTTTTTCATTCCAACACATCGCTTCATTCTTTTTGTAGTCAATCGTTTATTTCATTGATCCCGCCAGCAGCTGGATTCCTGGCATTCCTTTCGTTAAACCACATTCGTTTTTTGCATAACCACTACTCGATCTTTTAACAATGCGTCTGCTCAACACCTTCGTCGCTATTGCGGCACTTCTCCCTGCTTGCTTTGCTGCCCTGCCTACCCAGGCCGAAGGTTTCGCCGCTAGCACCACCGGTGGTAAGGGTGGCCAGGTCGTTCGCCCCAAGAACAACCAGGAGCTCGTCAACTACCTCAAGGATAACACTGCTCGTATTATCTACCTTGAGCGCACTTTCGACTTCAAGAACTCTGAGGGCTCGACCAGCGAGACTGGCTGTGCTCCTTGGGGAACCGGCGCTCATTGTCAGCTTGCTATCAACAAGAATCTGTGGTGCACTAAATACGAACCTAACGCTCCCAAGGTCAACGTCAAGTACGACAAGGCTGGCCTGAACCCCATCATGGTTGGCTCTAACAAGAGCATCATCGGTGTTGGTTCCAAGGGTGTTATTAAGGGCAAGGGTCTCCGTCTCGCCAATGGTGTCAAGAACGTTATCATCCAGAACATCCACATCACGGACCTCAACCCTCACCTTGTCTGGGGTGGCGATGCTATCACTCTTGACGGAACTGACAATGTTTGGATTGACCACTGCACGACCTCCCTCATCGGCCGCCAACACATCGTTCTTGGTACCCAAGCCAGCGGCCGTGTTTCTATCACCAACAATAAGATCGATGGTAACAGCAACTGGTCCGCTAGCTGCAATACCTACCACTACTGGGGTATCCTCTTCCTTGGCTCTAACGACGTAAGTTAAGCAGCCTAACCTGGCAAATATGATCGATATCGTGTATTGACCTCTCGTAGATGGTCACCTTCAAGGGCAACTTCCTGTACAAGGTCTCCGGCCGTGCTCCCAAAGTTGCTGGTAACACCCTTCTCCACGTCGTTAACAACTACTTCTACGATATATTCGACCACGCCTTCGAGGTTGAAGATAAGGGTCAGGTTCTCATTGAAGGAAATGTCTTCCAGAATGTCAAAAACCCCTCCAAGCCTGGCAACAAGGGCCGCATTTTCAGCATCCCTAATACTGCCGCCGCCAATGTTTGCAAGGCTGCCCTTGGCCGTGCTTGCCAGCTGAATGCCTTTGGAAGCTCTGGTACTCTGGCTTCCTCAGCAACTTCAAGGGCAAGATCATTGCTTCTGCTGCTAGTGCTAACAGCGCCAAGGGTGCTCAGACTAAGTCCGGTTTCGGTGTCGCTTAAACAGGAGGTCTTGATGGGATTTAGTTGCAGCATTAACTGTTTTCATTCGATTGGGGATAGTATGCATTAAATTTGGGTTTATCATATCATGTGTTATAAGCCACAGAAGCTTACCAAGTCGTCTTTACAAGACGTAGTAAGCGAGCTAGTATAAAATGTATTTACTCTTGTTAACTTGGTATGACTGTAGTGTCTAAAACATTCTCATTCTAATAGTAGGAAAATTATGCCTGGAAGTAAAAGATATTTTTAAAACAACTTAACATAGAATTCTCAGAATTCAAGTTATGGTTTCCTTGAACGTAACTCTCCCCTGTAAAAATTCCTTTTTTCCTCGCAGCTGTTAGCAGCTTGCCAGTGGAGGGGCATTGTTCAGGCCACTCGCCCACGCTTTTGCCCTCAAGTCCCCATTGGGTCCTTTACAGGCACAGAGAACGACCTTGGGAGAGTTCGTCTTCTTTGGAAAATCCCGGGACCCCCTTCCCTTCAGGATTCAGACTGTTAGTCAGAGAGTCCTAGATTTGGAGTTCAAAGTCCTACTCGGGTAGGGCCTTGAGACCGGCCCCCCTTAGCCTGACCCATTCCACCTGTGGTGCCAGAGGGTCAGGCACGGGGGGTACGTTGACTAGGCACAGGGGCGGTTGACTGAGGAAATCTAAGATACCTCTTTTTCTTAGGTCTTTCCTTATTATCAGAAGTATCCTTCATCTCCAAATTTCCCCGCATATATCACGTGACTTTGACATATTAACGGTACTTCTTTTTCCTAGGCCTTGCCTTACTATTAGAGGTATCTTAAATTTCCTCAGTCAACCGAACCTTTTCCTAGTCACCGTACCCGCCGTGCTTGAGGCACGGTCACTGGTGACTGAATGAAAAGCACGGGGGGCCGGTCTCTAGGCCCTACCCGAGTAGTAGTAGTAGTAGTAGTAGTAGTAGTAGTAGTGGTAGTAGTAGTAGTAGCAAGCCAATTAAAGGAGACCAAAAGCACATTCTTAATAAACAACAAACCCTTGATAACGCCTACCTGGGTGACTATCAAAATATAATAACAGTATAGCCTAGCTCAGAGGCAAGGAGCCCAACCAGCTACTAGCACCTTGGCCTCTACCCAGCTCCTGCTTGCCCATTTAAACTCCAATATTATCCATCCTATAAGGTATTGCCTCCTTCTCTTCTGCATTAAATATAATTGAGCCTCGTATGTTAAAGCAAAACAAACGCTTCGTCTTCACGGCTCGCCAGCTGTAAGACCAAACCATCTTTCAGACTCACAACATAGCCATATTCACCTCAAATGCCGCGCCTGGAATGTCCATCATTGGGCAAATCAGCAAGAGAGCGACCTCCAAGTGTCCATAAAAGAAACCTTAAGCATTGTTCGACCCAATAAGTCGTATCGAGTAGGTAGCTGGGTCGGGCTAGCCGTGTTCCCCCTGCAAGTCATCAGGAATACGTTCGGGGACTGGTTGGCTCCTCCAAGCAATGTTGAGCTGTACCGTCCAGACTCAATGAGCCTGCTGACAGGAACAGACTCGGCGCAGTTACGTGGTCGTCATATTGAGTATTCAGTCAATAGTGGAACCGCATAGCAGACAGTGAGCCTTCTCAGTCCAGGTCTTATCGCCACCTGTTACGTTTTCACGCAGGTCGCGAATCTCCCATGCTGTAGGGCCGTCTTGCATCTTGAGAGTGGCCTCGAAAAGTCCCAGATATGGCTTGGAGTCTCCGGTCTTCTTCTTGTGACCCTTCTTGGCTGATCCTTTAGCTGATGCGGTGGCAATAGATCTGGATGGCGTTGGTCTAGGTATTGGAGTTTCTGTCTCACGAGGGGTCTCGCGAGCAGCCTTCTCGACGTGTACATTATCGTTCGTCTCGCCGGAACGGACATCGATCGTTGGCTGGGTCTCCTTCTCCTCGGCGTCAGTGGGCGATAGCGGACGGATCGCTTCCTCAGGCTTCTCTTCCTCAACAACCAATCCCTCGCTTCGATGGGACTTATCTGTTCCCAGTCGTTCGTAGACTTGCATAAGAATGTCGTGGGCCATACATTCGTGATGCATCCACTTCCCGCATTCCCAACTCGTGCATTCTATGAGGGTCTTCTCGGGGTTCGCAGGAGTTTGGCATTTGCACCTGAGTTCAACAGACTTTATTACCATTAGCACTTGCGAAAAAGGAATTAGGTTCTGGGCGACATACCGAAAGTTGCGAGTTACGGCAGTCGTACGCTTGACGCCAATAAAGCGCGTCTTGGATCTCCTCGTCGTCGGACTCTATCCATTGGTTGACGGTAACGGGTCCTGTTACACTGACAACATTAATAATATCCACTAAAAGAGAAAAATCGGTTAGTCGCATTGCAGCATAATATCGGTAAGCATTCTGGAACATACTGTGGTTGGAAGCAATCAGTTCGTCAGCGCCATGGTACGGCTGACGACCTTGAACCGTCTTCTTGCCGTCAAGGGTTCCCTCAGGGAGTTCATCAGGCCAGTACATCCAGTAGACGCGTGCATAGACGTGATGCTGATCGGAAGCACGGATCTCGAGGATGCGCGCGACCCAGCCATCATTACTCTTCTTGGAGATACCCTTGCCATCACCTTGAGCTTTGTGTTGTTCAATGGTCCGCTCGTTGGCGACATGCACGAAGTCTTCGCTAGAATATCTGAAACCATTGTCTGCCAAGAGTTAGCCATGAGCCCCTCACAATTTGTGACGCCGCTGAGATTTCATCGGATACTTACAGACAACGGTTTTATAGCACGCCATTTTTTGCCATTTCTTTCCAGGGCCGACGGTGTAGTATAGATCCATGGTGTTATGCGTTTTGAAGCTGCCCGTTGGGGAGAAGGGAGAGCCTTGAAACCGAACCAGTTTATCGTCATCTTGACCATCGCGCTTCCGCTTCTTGGTCTTGCGAATTTCCTTCTGGGCAGCCGGAGGGCTAGTCGCGTAAGAAATCGTAAAAGGGCACTCATCGCGACTCTCCCCCCCGACAGATCGCGATCTCTTGCGATTGCTCATTGTGGCGTTTTAATACCGTTGGCCCTTGGGTATGACCGCGTTGAGAGTGGAGAGAGGATGGGTTTGCGGAGAAACGATAAGGCGCGCGAAGAAACGGCGAGGGAAGGGGAGAAAAAAATGAAAGAGAATCGCATATACGTGATTTTGCGATGGCGAGATCTGTGCTGAGCTGAGCCCAATTGGTCTCTGGATCGTCGCGTGCGCGATTTCCCTTATGTCATCGACTTGGGCCTCTATGATTGGACGAGAACGGCCCGAGAGTGGAGTGGCTTCTGAAGAAAAGCAGAACTCTCTAAATGTCATAAATATACTTTGATTCATTTTTCATATCCTCATAAACTAGGATATGGTGCTAGATAACTTGATAGATAAGCGGACCGGGTTTTGTTTGTTATTGAATGGGATCGGGCCACCGTTGTAGATTTGATATATGCAAGGCCCGATTTGGCTGACAGTCAGATATGATTTTTCTACTGATGTAATAGAAGGCTCTTCTTTAACATTCACAAAATGGTTGAAGAAGGGTAAGTTGAATGCAGTTCTGCGTGAAAGAGAGTCGAGAAGAATTGAGAGTAAAGTTTCAGAACTGCCTGGGGAGCCCTAGCTCATACGAGTTGGCTAGGTTTGGAAGTGAAACCAGAGCGGCAACCTGAGCCAGTTCTTGTTTGTGGGGCTCTAGGAAGCGGGGCCATTCCGTGACTCGAAGCCACTGGGATTGATGTCTAGGGTCGGAAGATAGAAGCTTTATGTCAAAACCAGTCTGGTTTGATATTGCTGAGTTTTCGTTTTCTTGCTGGGCAAGCTGAAGGTTTATAATGTCCTCGAGTCCAGTTTAAGCAAACGCAGGGCTGATATTGGTCGCGTTACTTCCTGCATCAGATCCAGATGGGCTTTCCTCCATGTCCTCGTGAACTTTGCGGGCCTCGACGATGAAGTACCTACATCGTGAACCGTGAAAAAGGGTTTGACAAGAGACTGGAGTCCGGACTAGACCAGCCTGGGCCAAACCCTTGATCCCTCCAACCTCTCCCCTTCGTCGGCGCCCCGGTTGGCGCAATGGTTGCTTATGGACCTTTTTGAGATGATCCTCTATTGCTGTGCGACCTCGGCAGACATACCGGTCTCGATCGACTTGACAAAGTAGACAGTAAATTCCATCGTGGAAAACACTAAGGAACTGAATCGGATGGGCGATCGGCAGCGGTCGCACCCTAATACTACAGTCCAAAATCAATTGTACAACAATTGATTTAATTTACCCCACTTTACAGGGGGTTGACTTGATTTTTGACAAGGGGTAGACTTGAATTTCGAAAAATGGACTAGCGTTGGGGTAAACTCGATTTTGACAGGGGTTGACTTGGATTTCTGATTGGTTCTTGCTTACACGTTCAGGCAAGACAACACTTTAACAGCAGCGCGTCGAGCTTTGAATCCTATTTATCAACGTCTATCACAATGAATGTGAGATCTAACCAACAATCTATTATTTTTTAGCTTGTTTCAAGAATATCCGTCAGACCATGGCACTCAAGCCTACGACGGAGCTCGGTCCTTCTAACCCTACTCTTCTATTCCTAATTGTCGCGTACCCCTGTCCACTGCTCAAGTACCTGTCTATCTCCGGTTTATTCCCCCTCAATCCATACTGTGGCGATTGATTTGTCCCATTTCGATCGACGATCTGCACGCGCGTCATATGCGTGTATACGCGTACTTTAGCTTTCATACTTTATAAACCCTCTTTACTGTAATTTCAGTCCGAGGTTTCTTTCCAACGATCTACATCATTATCGATCCTCCCACTTTCACCTGAAAGAGGACTCTGAATAACATACCCCCAGCAAAATGTAAGCCAAAGTGGTGATCTCGTCATTTCATTGGTCGACTTTGCTTTTTTTTTCCCCATCAGAGAGTTTCAACTTCAAGCTATGCAATGCCCTATACGCGGCGACGCGCGTATGTCGTGTACCCTGGCTATCGACCTGCGGAGGCATATGAGCCCAACGAGTTACAAATCTTCATTGCCATCATCTCTTTGGAAATACCAATCACGACGTCAGAACAATCACATCATGAAGAGACCATTCGAAAGCACTCAGACTGACTATGTTGCGGCCACTGGCACAAGCGAGACGACCCCATGGCTGCAGCACACACGCTGGGCTAAGCTATTCCGGAATAGATCACTCGAAATCATTGCCGCCACGGCGAAGCTACCGGCCTCGCAATGGAGTAGAAGATACCTACTTGGTCAATGGCAAGGACTTTATATCTGGAGCTCTGCCGAAACTGAAGCCCAGTTGCAGGTTATCCTTCGCGGGCTAGACTTGATGTTCGACAGGGCAAGAGCTACGCTTGATCGCACGCCATATATCTCGCGCTGTTGGCTAAATACATATGCTAAAGATGCTTTTTGGCCGCATGGATTTCGAGTCATACCAAGCTTTAAGAAGTATCTGGCAATATGGAAAAGATTCATCTGCTTCGTATTTCGCGCTCTGCAATACCCGTCTCGGCAGCGTAAGGAGGTATATAACTTGCGTTTGGGATCCAATGAGATTAATATGATGCAGCATATATTATATCTGGTCGGTCAACTGCAACTAGGAGAGGATGGCAACGTCAGCGACAGCTCAGACAGTGAGGGTGACGAATCTTATGGCCAAGACTGGCACGACGACTGCGAAATTCCTTCAGAGCTTGAAAATTCAGTTACCGACCAAGACTTTGACACAAGTACAGACGAGGATGAGGAAGTAGGTAGAGATCAAACATCAGACTCCGAAGGATCTGGCTTCTCTCTTCCGAATGGTAACTGGCTGCGGCTGTCTGAGGCTTTATTCCAATTATCAATGATGTTTTGGACATATCAAGATCCCGCTGGAAACCTGTCATCTTCGACCATCGTCCACTTCACTGCTGTCATGGGCATTCGACAACAATCCCTTGCCTTCCACTCGGCCCATAATTCTACAAGTGAGCTAGCAGGATTGATCTGGATCGGCCGATTATTGTTCCTCGAGTATGCCTTGCCGGTCTATAGCTATTCTACTCTGGTTTACGAATGGCCTCGTCGAGATCATTATCCATCGCAGCCTGACCGCTTGGATGCGATTCGCAAGAAGTACTTGATTCGAGGCTGCTATACCCCATTCGGAGAAATCATTGAGCTTAAAGCCTTTGCCAAGTCAATTGTTAAGAGAGAAGGCATCCCCGGAAACCTCTCCTGGGATCCAGACGGGAAGTCATTTATAATCGGACATGACATCAAGTTCAAGCTTTCTGAATTTTGCGCAACCCATTGCAAAGCCATTAAACTCGTGGGAGAGCGGATAGACGAGATGATGTTAGGGCTTGAAGTGGATATCAAGACGGACAAGATCCAAGATGACCTCACTTGCCGAAAAGCCGGATGGTCTTTCATACAAGACCCAAAGAACAAGCTAGCGGACACCTGGGAGCAATTAGCAGATACCCTGAGATCGTCAAGTTTTCGCGGCAAACCTTTTATCAAAGGCACGGACTGGCAGGTCGACACCTGTATAGCATATCTTAATGCTGGTATAGACCTCAGTAAGCTGACATTCGCTGCATCGCATCTTTCGGGAGGGTTACCCGGAAGGGGTACCGAGATACCATACGCCACCACTCTTTCGGCATACCCACTCTTTCGGCAAGCAAAATAAAAAAAGCTCCACCAAAACTCCCCAACTTCACTTACGCCAGAATTGACTAAAGTAAATGGCTAGATAATATCTCTACTGATTATAGAAATGACTGGAGTTGACGATTGGGGTACTTTAAGGTTGTGCGGGGTACGCGATCTATGCATGCGTTGCTTTGGAAATGTTGTCAGCTTAATCTCCAAGTTCCTCACCGCTTCTTTCCGTGTTTTCTGGCCTTTATCTTTGACAACGACAAGAAAATGCCTAGGCCAAGATTTCGATGGAAATATACAGAGGAAAACATGGCAGAGGCTATATTGGATGTTACTGATAATGGCTTTTCGCCCCCTCAAGCCGCTCAGAGACATGGTGTGCCCCGAAGCACTCTAGTCGACAGACTTAATGGCCGTCGGGCCGTGAATGAGCAGATCCACCCTCGTCGACGCTTGTCCAAGAGCCAAGAGGATCGATTGGCTTTCTGGGTACTCCGCCAGGAGTCCTTGGGCTACGCTCCGTCCCACAGTCAGATCCGCGCTTGGTCATGGGCTTGTTGAGACGGCAGGGCGAACAGCCCGACTTGGGACACAACTCGGTGGCCAGGTTTATCAATCGTCGCGCAGACCTAAAGACCAAGATGGGCAGACGCCAAGAAGCCAAAAGATTCAACTCTTTCACACCTAAAGCGATTCATTGATACTTTGATATTCGGGAGGGCCATTATGGCTGGATCGAGCCTGAAAACACCGTCAATGTTGACGAGGGAGGTATCATGATTGGTTTCGGTAAGTATCTATCTGTATACCGTTCAAGTGCTTGAAATTTGCCCAACTGAACCTTTTTGTTTAGGCTTAGATAGCCTGGTTGTTGGAAGCGCAGACCCGAAGCGGAAGGCATTTCTCAAGGGACCACAGACTCGAAACTGGACTTCATTTATCGAAACCGTAACTGCTGATGGCCGCGTTTTAGTTCCCGGCATAATCTTCAAGGGGAAAGAGCTCCAGAAACAATGGTTTCTTGACGAGTTCAAGCAGATAGCAGACTGGTATTATATAACATCGCCTAACGGGTGGACTGACGACCACATTGGCATTGAATGGCTCGAGAGAGTTTATCTGCCACAGACTACGCCCGCCGACGAGTCAGACGCGAGACTGATCATTTTAGATGGCCATGGAAGCCATGCGACGGTATGTCCTTCATTTCTCCAACCTCAAGATCGGCGCTGAGTGGTGGAAGGATGAATGGATGGCCACGTGCTTCTTGAACAATGTTTACTGCTGCTACCTGCCAGCACACTGCTCTCATGGACTTCAACCACTGGACAATGGAGTATTCAATGTATCCAAGGCTGCATATCGACGAGAGTTGGAGAAGTTCGCCTTGTTGACTGATTCCACCCCGATGGACAAGGCCAATTTCATCAGGGCCTACGCCAAGGCTCGCCGAGTTGGCATGACGCGAAAGAACATACTGTCTGCTTGGAGGGTTACTGGAAACTGGCCGATCTCCCGTGAAAAAGCGCTCCGGCACCCTGAAATCCAACAAGATAGGCCAAACGGCAGCCCGAGAGCGACTCCCGAACCAAGGCCATATTTCGACTCGGACGATACACCACAGACGAGCCGCCAAATTCGTGATCTTGGGCTGAACAAAACACCAAAGACACGGAGACGGTACAGCGTGATAGCCAAGGGCTTTGAGGCTCAACAGCAGACGGTAGCGGCGCATACGCTGAGGATTGCTAGCCTAGAGGAAGAATTGGCTCGGCTGAAGAGAGGGAAGAAGAGGAAGGCGGTGCCGAATCCTAACAAACGTTTCATGACCCTTGGAGAGACTTTAGCTGGTGGAGAAGTCATGCCAGAAGAGGAGGCTCAAAATACGCCTGGTGGGGTGGAATCTGTGTGTTCAAGCGAACAGGAGGCAGAATCGGAGGCTGGCTCAGTCATCGAAGTCAGAGAGGAAACCATACCCCACCAACTCACCAGGCGATCAGAGCGGCTCGTAAAAAAAAACAAAATTTCAACAGAGACATTAATTTATGATTTATCAAACAAAATATTCCATGTATATCTCGCAATTTGGTCAAATTATGTGGAAATAAAGTTGCCGATTTTTGGTGGTGCTTTTTTTATTTTGCTTGCCGAAAGAGTGGGTATGCCGAAAGAGTGGTGGCGTATGGTATGCATTACATAGCCGACTTCATGAAGGTGGTCTGGCAAGTACTTCTGTTCAAAGCGCGCCACTCTCTCCTTGAAACAGGCCTCGTTTGGGGAGCTCACGATCAAGTGCCAGAATTGATAGAATTCGCCCCAAGCTTCTTCTGTTTTATCAGTCGGCTGACTGGAGCGGAAGCTGGCAACATCTCGAGTCGTGAAAGCTGGCAGACAATGCCGTAGCACTGCTTTATTAGCATGCCAGAGACAAAGGAGCGACTGAGAGGTGGGAAATGAGGTGGCAACAGCGTTCATACAGGCGATACAACGGTCTGTTAGCACGACAGACGGTAGTTTGGAGCAATGGTGATCATAGAGAGACCGCAGACGATCCAATGCCCACCCATAGTCATCCTCTGATTCTCCGCTCAGGAAGGCAAAAGCTATGCAGAAGGACTTTTGACAGGCGTCGACTCCGATCATGTCAAGAAGAGGCATGCCATATTTGTTTGTCTTATAAGTGCAGTCCAGAAGGAGAATATCGGGATATGCCTGAAGGTACGTCAAGGAGTCAGGGTGAGCAAATAAGACGGCTGTGACTCGACCATCTGAGCCGAATTGCATCCGGCTCCAAAACCCTTCCTCATCAAGCTGATTAGCAAGGGCGTGGATAGTGGTTTGTCCTTCGCAAAGTTTGCGTCGAGTTGCTGCTAAGCAGTTGTAAACATCTTGCTGGGTTGCCGCGGAATTACAGTATTGGCGCAGGTATGTTCTAATGGTCTAGGTGCAATTCCTGCATTGGCGAGCCTTTCAAGTTGAGTTTGGTCCTCCTCAGGTAGTTTACGGTGTATTGGGTGAGCCGACAGATGCTGACTGGGAGGGTGATTGTGAAGAGAGAAGCGGGTATCCGGCCGGTGTCGTAATGTCCACCTACTCTTGTCGAGTGATTCTTTGGCCAGAACAGAGAATTTACAACCGGTCCCTCGAGTAGTGGTCTTGCGTTGTCTTTCTCTCGTCGAACTGGGCCGGCGACATGACCGATCGCATGTGTACGTGATAGTTTGTCTGCCGCTCTTTTCAACCGTCGAACGTCCGGTCGTAAAGGCGTAACCTCTATGGGCCGCCCAATCGTTGATCGCCTTGAACAACGCATCGCGCGACTCATATTCATGTTCGGGAGGGAGGCAATCTTCAGTGAATGACAAGATCGTTCCCATTGTTTGAGGATCACCGCTGAATGTCGTTCTTCGGTGAGCGCACTGTGACCCAGCCTTCGCGTCCTGACGCGACGGCGTTAAAAAGCAAGACAGTGTGTTTTCATCGACTCGTAGGTTGAAATCAGGACTAGACGCACTGTGCTTAGTCATTTTTACGGGACCCGTGAAATTAATAGAATCACGGGTACCCGTGAACCTATTGGCTCCCGCAGGGAACTGCCACAAGCTGGCCTCCCGCAAGGGTCACCACTATCGCCGATACTGTTCCTGTTCTTCAATGCAGACTTAGTGCAGAGCAGGATAGACTCGAACGGAGGCTCGATTGCGTTTGTCGACGACTACTCAGCCTGGGTCACAGGTCCGACGGCCGAAGACAACAGAGAGGGCATTCAGGCCATCATCGACCGTGCACTGGACTGGGAAAGACGCAGCGGAGCGACATTTGAGTGCGACAAGACGACCATCGTGCACTTTACCCGCGTCATCGACCGTACCAGCCGCATACCGTTCACGATCAAGGGAGATGTGATCAAGCCGAAGCGGAAGGCCAAGATCCTGGGCGTCATCATGGATGCAGGACTAAGATTCAAGAAACACATGGCTGAAGCGGCCACCAGAGGTCTCACGGCGGCCATGTGCCTGAGAAGACTGAGGATGCTATCTCCACGCACGGCTAGGCAGCTGTTTACGGCGACCGTCGCTCCGGCGATGGACTACGCTTCGGTCGTGTGGTCGCATGCACGAAACGAAAGAGCACTGAGCTGGTTCAACAGGGCTCAGAAGATAGGAGCACGAGCCATCACGGGTGCTTTCCGGACAGTCGCGACAGCAGTGATGGAGGCAGAAGCCAACATACAGACGGTATGCGAGCGACATGCTCAAGCAGGCATGCGGATGTACATCAACATCAAGACGGTGCCAAAGACGCACCCGCTAGCAGCCCTCAAGGTGTCGGCGAGTCGAAGATACATGTCACCGTTGAAGAAGCTGGCGCTTGCGTATGAAGGCAGCGGAACGGAGCGGATGGAAACGATTGAGGCCTATGCGGTACCACCGTGGTACAACCGGGTGCCGCTTGTACGCGAGGCCGATCGTGAAGCGGCGAAAATAGCTGCAAAGAACGTCAACGACATTGTCATCGCGACCAGTGCTTCCGACAGGGGAGGTCTAGTGGGTATGGGCGGCATCGTGGCCCAAAGATCGCCTGGTCAAACAGACAGGATAGTGGCCAGGTACTCGGCCACGCTCGGGTCACGAGACGATCAGAACCCGTACACCGCCGAGCTGGAGGCGATAGCGATGGCATTGCGATGCATGCCGGATGGTCTACAATGTCGAGAGCTTACGGTGCTGTCAAGTAGCCAGTCGTCACTCAAGGCGATTGCCCGACCGCAACAGCAATCAGGCCAGACCTCCATCCGTCAGATCTACGAGCACATCGAGCGACTGAGAAAGGGAAACAATAGAGTCAAGATGATCTGGGTACCATCCAGAGACGATGACCTCAGCATGAGTCGTGAAGCAAAGAGACAAGCCAAGAAGGCTACCAGAGCGGGATGCACGCCGCAATCGCTACCGTACCAGGCCCGCTCCACGCGGCTCAGGCTGGCAGTGTCGCAGCTGCATCAGCAACGGAAACTACCCAACAATGTAGGCAACTACTCCAAACGGATAGATCGGGCCCTACCAGGCAAACATACGCAAGCACTATACGACATTT